TAAAAATAAAAGTTTTTAACATCGATAAAAGATAATCTTGATTAAAATCTTTTAAGTGTCAATGAACTAAATTTTATATGAATATTAATTTTTAACACATATAATTATTTAATCTTTATTTGTTATTATTTTTAAACACTAATTGTTTAAATTTTTCTTTTATTTAATTAAACTCTATTTCAAATTCTTGATATTTTATTTTAATCCAGTTGATAAATAAATTTTCTATCTAATTTTTTATAAAAATCTTATTTTAATTTTACTTTTAAGTAGCAGACGTAATTGATTATTCTTACTATATATTGATTAGAAATTAAATATCATTATATTTTATTTTATTAACAATCGATTATAAAAACTTATTTATTTAAAAGATTGTTAATAAAGAGATCTACATTACTTGACAATGTTAAACTATTGTATTATAAGTAGTTAATTTTATAGGAACAAAAATACTTCTTATTAAACACTAAAATACATTTGTTAATCTTATTTAAATATTATTTGTTAGTAATTTATTTATAAAATTTAAAGGGGCAAAATTTTTTAATAAAATTTGATTTTAAGGATGTTCTATTTTTAATGATAGTACAACAAGATCAATTAAGTAATGGTTTTATTTTATATTAAATATAACAAATACTTTATAATTTAATTAAATAAATGATTGTTATTTCACTTTTAACACACTTTATTTTCAATAAAAAATGATAGTAAACAATTGTTCTAGAACAAATTAAGTTTAAATTTTAAAACGAACAAAATCAATTGTTTTAGAAAGATTTTAATTTTAAAGGTGTTTTTCTTTTATTAAAAAATATCTTTTAATAAATTTTTTTTTGTATCCCTTTAAAATGAGAGTTAAAATCCAATCAGATTACACTTCCTCCGATGATAATGAAATTGAAATAGAAGAAGAAGACAAGGTAGAAACTAAGGAAAGAAGTTCTTTAGAGCAGCTAATTATCTTACTGAACTTACCAATCAAAAAAGTATTTCAGTATTTTGTTGGTGAATTTTCATTAGCAATCTATGTTTATTACTACTTAATCAATGATTTAAAAAACAGTAACATATCATTTATTAATTTGGGAGATGTTTGCATAATTATTGTTATGATTCTCACCCTTGTTAATTTTCTATTACCAAGAGAATTTTTAATTGCTGTTTTATTTAACTTTTTCATGGCTAATCTATTAGGATGTACATCAAATTTTCTTATTTTAGATTTATTGAATTTAGACAAGAAAGTTTATTCTAAATCCTATGTAAGAACAATCAATGGTGGATATCTTTACATAAGATTATGTCTAGAACAACTT